GAGGAGCTTTATTACAGCGCAAGGGCAAATCAGTGTGTAGCTCGACAGTTTGACTGTTGCAGTGTGTGTGGGAGATTATATTCACCAAGTTACATGTGCTCTGTTTATGACTTACCTAAACTGTAATGCTGTTATGTTTGCTGTAGTATACATTCATTTGGGGGGGTAGGGGGGGGGGGTTCAAACCTTTTGATGCCATGGACCCTTAGATATGATGATACCTTTGTCATTCTAAAATATAGAGGCAGAAATATATTTTTATGAAAAGCTGTTACACTGTAAACATTTCTAACCTCCCAACTCAACATTTTCTAGTGACTGGTCACATCTAAATTTTTCAATTGGCCCAAGTGAAATTCTGCAAAGTGATACAATTAAATTTGCAGAATTTCACTTGGGCCAATTGAAAAATTTAGATGTGACCAGTCACTAGAAAATTTTGAGTTGGGGAGGTTAGACATTTTGTACAGTGTCTCTCTCTACTTCTGAGAAAAATAGTGTAAAACTCCTGCAATAAAATCACCCCCTTATTTTAATTGTGTTAGATTGTGTAGAATGCAGCAAACTTCTGCTAAATCAGTGCAGGTTGTGTCTGGGTAAAGTAGATTACACTTGTGATTAAGATGCAGATTTTTGTGGCACAACTGTTCAGAAAATTCACCCTAGAGCATGTATCCTTCTCTGCCCTTGTTTATCTGGGCATTTTATTCACATTATCTTCTGCCCTTTATAAAAAAATCCATCTGTCAGTTTTGTTTTATTTTGTTTTTTCAGATGTTTGGCATCTGGGCATTAAAGCCAGGTGTTTTGCACTTTAGCCAGCAGTGACAGCCTGTTGACAGGTGATTCTGTCCTGCCTCAGTAGCACCGGCCTCTAGAGAGATTAGTCACCCACAATGCCCTTCACTCATATGCATCATCAGTATTGCATCAAACACAGAGGCTCTGGATCATAAATCACTGTCATTTCTCTTTCTCTCTATGAATGATAGCTTGCATTAGCCTGTTGCTGGCCGTCTGTTATGGTCATGAGATTAGGAGGTCATTGTGCACTTAGGGCACCAATCGGCCCCTTACTTGGGGCCACAGGTTGTGCAGTTTAGAATAAAGGATCCGTTATTCATCTCTTCACTCTGTCCTTCAATATCTCCATTGCAGCTGAGTTTAACAAATAACACTCACTCCTGTCTTTAATTCCTGCTGAGGACAGAGGATTTTGGGCTAAAAGTTCTTTAGAGGACACTTCAAAACTTCAATGCTTAAAGCTACAGTAGGGCGTTTTGAGAAAACGTTGACTTAGCCTGAAAATTTGAACAAGCACAACTTACAGGTCCCACCCCCTTGCTCTCTGCTGCGCTACAGACCTCCCTCCACAGCTCCTCCCCCACAGCGGAGCCTGCCGTGAACGCGCAGGCTAGTAAGCAGGGCCACCGATGACGGCGGATAAACAGTTATTATGGCACATTCACTAGTAGGGACGAAACATCAACAATATGCTTTACATTGACTATGGCCTGCCCATACTTTGACTACAAACTTGGTCCTCAAATTATTACGTATTTTGCAATACTTGTAATGTAACTTTATAACGTTGCACCCTTTCTATATGTTATAAATAACTAGTAAGATAATATAACGGTAACTAACGTAACATATAATAAGTAATTATTCTAGCGATATGTAGGCCTAATGCTAGATAAGGTTTGCTAGTACATTTGTAACGGGGTTCAGTTGTTATGGGAAGAAGGAGGCGGGAACCGGCGAACGTTCAACAAGTTTAATAATAAGTTAAATAAACAAATACAAAATGAAAGTATAAGCCAGCAGCTCCTCACGGACGACTGCTGGCACACAAAACAACATAAAACCACAACGTAAAATCAGGCCTGTTCCTCTCTCCACTGTCGTCGCTCCTCCTTTATGCTTCCGCTCCTCCGTGAGAGATACGAGACCGGTGCGTCACAGGTGTCGTTCATTATCACTCACGCCACCGGCCTCGCGCCGCTCTCACGTCCCTCGACCTCGTCCTGCTCGCCACATTATTTCAGCAACATGACAAGCCAGTGAATTAGCAGGTTTCAATTGTTGCTTTGCACAGTGCGTGACATTTTATCTACATGTTACGCGGCTAGAGTTTTGACACAGAGTTAATGGGTTCTTGTCTAATTCTGTCTTTGTTTTATGAGCAATTGGCAGTTTAGGTTGTTTCTCCACCATTAGCACAGCTGCGGCACACCGGCAATCTTGTGTTTGGTTAGAACGACGGTACGTGCTGTGCAAGAGAGGGGTGTGATCAGCGCGTACACGAGCGTGATTGACACTGCTAAGACATTCCTCCTGGCTCTGATTGGTTGTTTCTGACCGGGAGCGTGTATTTCTGCAAATGGCAATAGGACCACTGGGAGGAGCCAGAGGAGCTTGATTTTTTCACAGATTATCTTTCTCATATTCTACTGTCAGGACATAATGACAGTTTTACCAAATATGTAAAAAATATTTGTTTACAAAAGATGCCTACAGCAGCTTTAAGGACAGATTTACTAAACAGGGCAAATTAGCGGGAGAACGCAAAAAAAAAAGCGCTGACCTAATGACACGCAAATGAAAGAACACAGACGCAGCTGGACGGTCCATAATGACCAACGCAATCTACCAGGAGCGGTGCAAATTAGCGTCTGGTTTAAGATATGCTTTTCTTTGGGCGGTAAATAATGGCGCAAATACCAGTAAATTGACTAGTGCAAACCATGAATCCCCTTGCATGATTCATTTAAATACTCTCCTCCAATAAATTTTGCATCTGAAAGGGAAACTTCTACAAATGCATATGCAATAGGGTCAGCTGGAAAAATAACTGTGTCCACGCCTTTCAGTGCTAATTTTTCACTGCACATCTTTAATAAATCCTAACAGTAGTTTTTTAACGCCAAAAAAGGGCTTGCGTTGGCGCACGCTGTTAGTAAATCTGGCCCTTAATGTCTTTGGACCGTGTCTCAGTCATCGTTCTTATATTTTTGCAAAGAGGTCCAGTTTATCCAAATGTAAAATTCATAATTGCCTGTCAATTGGCTTCCTCTGTCATAGTTAGTCATGCAAAATGGTGAGTGAGGAGACTGATAAAGTGTTTCATAACATGGTTCCATCCGAACAACTGAAGCATTAAACCCTCTGTTAAAAAACCTTCTTCCTTCCTGTCATTCTTCTACCTGGATTTACTTAAACAAAATGGATTGTGATGGTACAGTGAGTCTGTAACGGCAAAGGGCGTTTGAACTGAGGTGACATTCAAATTGAATTAGTCCTTTTGGAGGAATTTCAGTTACTCATTGTAGCTGTTGAAGTACCTACAGCAGTATTGGATACTGTTGTGCATTTTAACTTGCTTAACCAGTAAGAATCAATCAGCATCTAAAGAATCAGCATCCAGCAAAAACCAGGCTGGGCCAGCATGAAAATTCATTCGATTCTTTTTCTTTCTATGAAAACAACACTTTCACATTCTCTTCTTTGTTTTGTTGTTGTTGTTTTAGCTCGACTTTTGTATGAAAGTATAGTTTAACATTTGGCTAAAATCCTCTTGTGTATTCATTCAGTAGATTAGCCCTCATTGGTATGGTGAGGAGATGTCAATATCAGACTAGCATTAGCACACACTCGCTAGTTTTTTATCTCCGCCCTTTAGACTCCAGAACACACTCTGCATTCACCTCATGCTCTGTTTGATATTTGTCAGACATCAGCATCTCAATGAGAACCTGTCAGTTGAGGTCAGTGGAAGGAAGGAATATATCCAAACTCTAAACGTGTGTGGAAGTTTTATCAATCTGTGGCTTTGTCAGAGAGAACAAGCACTTTTTTATTGATGCTTTGGCTGTTTCCAGAGACTGATAGTGGCCCATGCTAAAGCTGTGGAATAGTAACATGGTACACGCTAAAAATGTGACTATAAGAACAAGGTAGCATTTCTGAGGCGTTGAGCGCTCAAGTGCGCCACCCAGAGTTGGCTAGTAGCAGGTGAAAGTGTTCTTGGGAGGGAATGAATCACTGTTAAAATAAAAACAGCAGGAAACTGTCAGTAGTTATACATGTCAGGATGTCAGTAGCTGGCGAGTCAGTGTGCGTGTGTGTGCTTGCCTTTGTGAGAAAGAGCGGTGATGAATGCAAAACGGAGCCACACACACCATTTCCCCTCCTGCATTACAAAGGACATTGCTGAGCTCCTCTCCCAAGGGTGAGCCACTGTACCATGACCAGATGTTTCTCTTTGCTCGCAAGATACTCCCCATCGCTCTCGCCATCATTCATTTCATTTTATTGTCACATCCAATACTAGGTCTTGTGATAGTGCATGTTATATCTAACTGTTATATCCACGTACACAACTATATATTTTCAAAATGGACTTGTTGGTGGTTGCCTGAACAACTAGTCAACTCATTGGTCTTAAAGAAAGCCCTGTTTAATTGCAGGGCTTCCTTGTTTCAGGTTCACCTGAACCCAATCATACTTTGCAAACTCTCTAGCTGTCAGCACACTAATTAATGCATCTCTAAAATATATATATATTAAAAAATACATGTATATGGTGGCTTCTTCAACTTATGGGACTTATTGATTATTTTATTTTTTTATTTTCCAAACAAGCTGTAATTTTGTTCACTTATGTCCAAAAATATATAATTGTGTGCATTTATGGTACATTAAATGCTAGTTATTACATTTTGGAAGACAAAGGATTTTATTTTATTTTCTTGTTTCCACTACAATGTCAATGAAAAAAGAATACACCTGTGATGTATGTGTTCACGCTGTTGGACATTATTATTAAAAGGATTAAATAAATTGGTGATAGTAAAAAAGTGATAGTGAAATTAACTGTGTTTTAATTTAGTTAATTTGGACAAAAATTAAGTAAACTAGTCACCTCACTTATCGACTAGTCAACCATCATGACTCAGCCTCAATGTCCACCTATAAATAAATTGTCCATTCTTACACAGGAACAAGGGAAGGTCGGCGTGATCTTCAATGTGGGCACAGATGACATCACCATAGATGAGCCTGCGGTTACCGTGAACGACGGCAAGTACCACGTGGTTCGCTTTACACGTAGCGGTGGCAACGCCACCCTCCAAGTGGATAACCAGCCCGTCATTGAGCGCTTCCCATCAGGTAAGTCCCCGCGGAGGATGGGGAAAGCCATCTGGGGGGGGGGAATCCCATTACACGTGTGGTTGGTAGAAATACTGGGATCAGCTTCCCCTGGGACTGGACACATGGGGTCAGAGAGAGACACTGTATATTTCCACTCGCAAATCACTGCGACGTTGTTTGAAGCACTTGGCCTGGATTTGCATCCATGTTGGAGGCATGCCTTATTGAGGGGTACAAATTGATTTATAATTTCAAATGCAAATTATTTAGGTTTGAAGTGCGCCATTTTTACCCTCAAACTCTTCCAAGAGAGTTTATGAGTCACCACATGCAGCGCCTAGATAACCACCGCATGCACAATCTAATAACAAATGCAAATTGACACATTTCCCCCCAAGCTGCCTTGCCTAATACATTCAGCCCGAGATGGATTTGGATCCTTTACAGTTCTCAACTTCAGCCAGCTTTTCTCTAGGCGGGCTGAAGAAGGTGTCTCTGTGCCTGTGAAGATCCACCATCCCTGAACTGCGTGCGAACTTTGAACCTCAAAGCGCGCTTTCATTTTTTAGCGTTAGCCAAAACGCCTCTCGCAGGTTGCTCTTTGTACCCTCGAATATCCCAAGTTGTGGTATAGCCGGCGCCGTAAACTGATATTGCACACCCTTAAACTTTTGTAACAAGCCTTGATTGATGATCTCAACCCTGCAGTGGTCGTTCCCGTGAACCGTCCCCGTCCTATACAAACATCTCGCTCTGCGGTCCCCTGGCCTTGTGTGCTTTCCAATTAAACTTGAGCAAACTCTCTCTCTCCCCACTGTGTGCTCAGGGAGCTGCCTTCCTCTCATAGATGCTGTTCCACAGGAAGACATTTTCTCCGTCTCTAATAGCAATCCTGTCTTTCCCGTCCTCGTTTTTCAATCGGTTTTTCAGATGTGCTGCTTCACACCAGGTTAGTGCAGCGTCAAGAAGTCCTTTGCAAAAATACAGCTCTAGCCAAATAAAGCGGCGCCTCTGCTCACCTGCTACGCTCCTTCCACCCCTGCGTGTGGGGTCTTGTTTCGAAATTGCCAGTGGTTGAATGGCACTGCGTCCCTGCGGCTCGGGCTTGAGATTTCGTCTGATTTCTGAAAGGGAAAATTGGTTTTCTACTGCTGCGACACAGGCTTCCCATCCGCCAAGTCTCCCCCTAAGCCCCCTCAGGTGGTGAGAGTCAGATGGGGCGGCCTTTCCAAAGCGCAGGGATAAAGCCCAGCTTCAAAGTCGTCACAGTCATGTCATGCTTCCTTTAAAACTGAGTTATGCGCATTTAAATGGAATGGCACGGCTTTTATGTGGCACCTGTCATCCTGGGGATTTAAAAACGATGATATTGGTCTTGCGTGTCATCCAACACTCGCAAAGCTCACGTGTGTACACGAAGCTGGCTGTGTATCGCTTAGATTAGTGGGCTCGATTAATTCAGTTAATTAAAACGGAGGATTAGATAACCGGATATGTTCCCCGGTGGCAGATTTGCTGCTCCCTGCGGACACAGGCACAACTGACCCCTCGCCTCTGTATTTTGCTCAGCACACCATTACATTGCCTTATAAATAAGAATCTAGTGAAAATCAGTGAATAGCAATGCAACAGACTTGATTGGTTTGTTTTTGCTTTTTTTGTCGCTTACTCACGGATGAGACCTATTTCAAGTTTTCTTTGAAGGTTCAGCACAGAATTTGCCACACATGAGCTCTTTTAACAGGCTTATGGGAGTGGGTGGTTTGGCCCTCATTCAGGTTGCAGGGTGGGTAGGACGAACGGAAAGGCTTGTATCTCACACGACTGTCACAGAAGGAACATGACACAGTATGTGGTATGTCAAAAGAATTCTGTTAACACATGGCATACTAACATCTTTCTTCAAGAAAGAATAGTTTTAACTGCAAAATGACTTATTAATGGCTGCGTCTGAATTTCTGCACTTTCGTAGTATGTGGGTCAATGGCGATACTCATCTTTTTTTGTTGTCTATTAAATACACCTCTTTTAGGATGAGCATATTTTTCAACAAAACAAAAAGGTTTTATTTTTTTAATTAAAATACATTTTTACATTTCTGAGGGGGGTAAAGTAAAAAGAAAAAAATCATAATCTGATATTTTGATTTATTATTATTTCTTAGAATCTCTATTATGCATTCATTCATTTGTACTATATATATATACACACACACCATGTCACATGGTCATTAAATGTTGAGTTTTATTGAAATTGGTTATTAAGTTTTATTGAAAATGGTACAAAAGTTTTTAAATCATACTGTATGAAAACAACATTAATTCAAAGAGTTCTTTTCTTAGAAGTTGGCACATGCTTTAAAGTAGATTTTCTAAAAGATTTAAAAATTTTCTTTATCATGAACACTCTTATATGTCATTGACCCATGTACTGAATTTGATAAAGGAAAGGTTCTGGGAATGTCACGGCCGCTGCAAAGTTGTATAGTGATATTTTAAAAGACATAAACGTCATTGCGTGGCAACAAATATTGACCAAGCCATTGTAATAAGAGGTATTAGGATAACATGTGGATTTTGACAGGACAATGGTGGAGAGCAGAGAGGAGAAAACGGTGAAATGAAGAGATTGTTCTTTTGAGTGAGTAACAGGACCCACAAGCTCATTTTAGCTCTGATGAAGGGATCTGTCAGAAAAAGGGAACGGTCTCTTATCTGGCTGCCATGACACCGAGTTGATTACAGCTTTTGTGTCTTTTTATAATTACACGTGTGCTAATTTATGCAGGTACCTCGAGATGTTGATACTAGATTCAGAACTGATTGCATTGTTCGTACTCTGATTTCTTGTAGAGACCAGAAAATGTCTTCCGGAGCAGTTTTTACACTACTGCACATTATAATATGTGACATGTTATCACTGATATCTTTGTTGTCCTATTGATTGTATGAAATTTTCCTCAAGTATTATTCGCTGAGATGACGTCACAATTAACAGACCAAAACTAGAAGATAAACGATCACTAAATATGTCCTCAAAGCTTTCTAAACAGAATTAAACATGCTCTAATTAGTCTCAAGCTTCTAAACTGTCTAATAACTAAGTGCAATCCACCTTAAAACAACATAACTACCAGCATAAAGCTCGTTTAGACTTCCTAACTTGCTAAACTTGATAGTCTTGTTGCCATGTTTTTAACCATGTGACGCTTGAACTTCCAGATATTAACCTCTTATCTGTCTCTCTAAATTCTTTGAAGGGAACATTGATAATGAACGGCTTGCAATAGCCAGGCAAAGAATTCCATACAGACTTGGTCGGGTAGTTGACGAGTGGCTACTCGACAAAGGTAATAAAAATGGATTAATTAAACAATGACTTAATGACTTATTAAGGCTCTGTAAGAGGTGCAGTTCCCTTAAAACCGCAAAGCTGCGAGCCATTTTGAATTATAAACTTCCACAAAAATCAAACCTTTTCCATTGGCATACAGTGGGCCAAAACAAACTGTGAATTGTGGCTGCCCACATACAAGCTAAATCCAATTGGTCATTTCCATGTGGCTTGTGCTTTTCATATCATATTCTTAAGTTAGAACTGCACCACTTCAGAGATAAAGGTTTAATCTTAAACATAATCCCTGACTAACCCTCTAACAACGCACCATAACTGCAACAACTGTCTGTAAATAGTTTATTTTTCTTGCTGTCTTATGTTTTCCTTCTGTGATCCCCTCTGACTTCGCTAATTTTGAAGTAAGATGATTTTTTAAAAAAAACACAAAAAAACAACACTAACTCTTACTAAAGAAAAATATAATTATCTTTTCCAACCCCAAGCAGTTAAAGGGACTATTGCTTTTTTGTCATTCTAACACTTAAAATCAGAATAAAGTTTCAAAATCCCCTTTAACCCTTTGAGTCTAATGAAAACAAAACAGATTATGTTATTCTGACTTTTTGCTTAATAGTCTAAAACTTAACCGTGTAGTAATCTTTGGTCCCGTGAGACATCTGTAAACGGATGAATCCTGCATGGTATTTGGTTTTCCCCAAGAAACCTTCTCAGTTATTAAAGTGCAGAAACGATCTCAGATACCTGCGTCAGCACATTATCAAAGAATATTGGGCAGTAATGCTCTACTGGATGTGTAAGTAATCAGACTTTTTGGTTGGTTGCGCCTTTTTCATCTATATGCAAACTTCTTTTTCTGTTCATGTGCTGAGCTAACATCACATCTAAATGTTAAGTGTAAAACAAATACACTTGCACTGTTTTTTAATGGAAAACTGACCTTTCTAGGTCTGCATACCTTTGTTGATTGAACTCAATAACATGCAGAGTATAACGTGATCCAAAGTTCAGTTCTACATTTGTCTAAAGGTCATTTTCAGATGTTTAGCTCTCCCTTGTGCATCCAACTAACATCTTTTGTCAATATATAATTGTATACAGTATATATATATATATATGCGATGAGTATTTCCTCTTAGTATGATTTGATTTCCACCGCTCGATATAAATAGGGCACTAAACTAAAGCTAATTCCGTCTTAAACCCCCCTAAATCGAAACTAACTCAGAGGGTTAAACAGTCTAAATATTCATGAAAAACATTTTCGTTCCCAAATGAGAGGAAAATTGCTGTCAGCCTTTGCACATTCATATGTGATTTACAATGTCCCTTTAACATGTGTAATTGTTTATCAGTTCTAATCTATAAGTAATGATAATGACGCAAAGCCCTCATACATCAGGTCTGTGTCCTGTATGACTGGTACGTTTTACTGAGTGACTGGGTTTTGTGTGAGAAATTTGTGTCTGCCTCGTGCTCTGTATCTCAAAGGCTCTTTGGTCTCCTCATTCTCCTCCATTAAATGTTCTAACCTCTATCACTGGGTCTCATACATTTAGCTGCAAAGAAAAGATCTGTCCAACCTTGAGTTAATCACAGGAAAACCTTTTTTGCCTTTTTTCTAGACATGCGAGAAAATTAAATCTCATTGCACATTTAAATAGCAGTGAGAGGATTAATGCACCTAAATATTTAATATTCTGTCGTTATTAACTCAAATCTCTCATGTCGTTCCAAACATACGCAGGACACAAAAGGAGAAATTTTAGATGCTGTCCTGATCGCTATATTCCAATGAACGAGAACTGAATAAAACATTATGATATTTAAAAAAAACTATCCTAAAAGTGTTCTTTTGAATACGGATAAATAGCTTAAAAAAGTTTTTCATTGCTTTTTTAATTAAATGAAAGTCAATGGAGTCCAATGTCAAAAACAGATCTAATATAAAAATACAACTTTGTAAATATAATGTCTTCTTTTATACTCCACATGAAAAAGAATCTTGTACAGGTTTGGAACAACATGAAGGTAAGCAAATGATGACAGAATTTTGGGTGAACTGCCACTCTAAGTCCCATGCAATACTATCACAGAGATGATAAAGAGAGCATTTATATTATATTTTTCTCATTGGTACTTTGTATTATGTCACCGTATGCAACTGTCCTTAATGTGACACATTAATCAGAATAATTGTTACACTGTACAATAAAAGTACACAGGCAAGTGGAAAGTGGCCATCTGGCTTCTTCCCACTCTATTACGACATGCCTTTCAGAGGTTATGGTCTTTTTATCTCGTCTCTCATGTCAAACTTGGTTATTTTTTAACTGTTAAAACTGAGACCCTACTTGTGTTAAATGGCAACCCTTCATTAAACATTAAGTGGCTCTCACAGAGGGGATAACAACTGCCCACTTCATAATCAGCTGTGTCAGAGTACCTGTTCATCAGGAATAAATGGATGGCGGCAGTCCAGCACTTAGTGGCCAAAGGAAACGGCACTTTGAGTTAACCATCCTTTTCCTCTTTAAGTAGTAATTCAGAAGGTTTTGTTGGCATTTAATTATATCTAAAGTTTGGCCCGATTGCTTAACATTCACCATTATAATACAAAACCACTTGAATCAAACCTGTAGCGCTGTGACTACCTGTTGCAGCACTGAAGTTTTTATAATATTTATTCAGATTCCTTTTATTTTCCTTTGCATCAACTACCGGTAAATGATCAATTCAACCAGTGGTATTTTCTATGGAAAATTACTTAGTGACAATGGAGATTCTGGGGACAAAAACCTTAATGCAGAGGCATTTTGTGTGTGTGTGTGTGTGTGTGTGTGTGTGTGTGTGTGTGTGTGTGTGTGTGTGTGTGTGTGTGTGTGTGTGTGTGTGTGTGTGTGTGTGTGTGTGTGTGTGTGTGTGTGTGTGTGTGTGTGTGTGTGTTTATTCATGTGTGTCTGCGCCCCCTATGTATGTGTATTTGTGGGGCTGGAGGAGATACTCCTCTTGCCTCAGTGACACATTAACATTTGAGCTGGCAGATGACACTTATTCATGCAGATTAGCATCAACAAGGCCTCCGTCTCTGAATAAAACATATCCAAAACTCTTTACATACTCATAAATATTGTTTTCCAATTTGGTCCTCCTTATTCAGTTCATTATCCACAGCTTAAGCCTTACTAGTTTAATGAGACTCAAATGATAATATACAGCCATTATTCTATAATGATAAGGGCTCTTCCATTCCTCCTTTCATAGAGGAGCCACCTCAGGCTCTGGGAGTGATCTTTGCCATCATGTTTAATACAACATTTTGTCTCCTGCACTATCCGGGTCAGAAACGACAGCCATTAGAATTGGAGATTTCCATCACCAGGTTCAAATGTTAAAAGTGTTATCAGCTGATTTAGACACATCCTACCTGTGACGCCAAAAACAGCCTGTACTGATGGTCGTTTTTTGCTGCTCTCTCTCTCTTTCTCTCTGTCTTGCTCTCTCTTCATCTCCTCTCTGATGCATCCCAGGTCGGCAGTTGACCATCTTCAACAGCCAGGCAGCCATAAAAGTGGGAGGTCAGGATAAGGGGCGGTCGTTCCAAGGTCAGATCTCAGGCCTGTACTATAACGGGCTGCAAGTGCTGAAACTGGCGGCCGAGGGGGACCCGAATGTGCAGGTGGCAGGAAACTTGCGTTTGGTTGGGGATGCACCCTCTGTCTTGTCCACAGAGACCACCTCAGCCACCCCTCCGGCTGCGGCAGACATGTCCACCACCATAATGGAGACCACCACCACCATGGCCACCACCACCACCCGTAGACAGCGCTCTCCCAGCCTGAAGGACAGTATTACACAGGTGAGGATGGGACGGCCCTCTTGTTGGCCTGTTTCTCTTGAATGTGAGGGATGATGTTGCGTTTATAAAGAGTTTTGTTTTACAAGATGTCCGGTTGGTGATCAGAAATAAAAAAGCTGACAGGACAAACCACCCTGGGGTAAAAAATCTGTCATTTATTGCTTGAAAAAGTGCTGTCACTCTGCATCTGGAAAGCCCTGAAGGAGAAGAATCATAAAGCTCAGATTCGCATGTGTCAGGATATATCTCCCCCACATAGACTTTCCCTTTCATTCCTCCCACACATAGTATTTTACTAGTCACATTTCCTTTGAATGGTCCTGCAATTTTCTAAAGTCATTATTTTCTAAGCCTCGAGAAACATATTTAGAGCTGTAGCACTTTTCTTATGAAAGCAAACATTTGAACGGTTAAATTTCTATCCACTTGTCAGATTTCCAGTTTGAAATCCTTCTTTTACTTCTGATTAAAGGACTTTTTTAAGGGGGGAATCATTTATTTTACCGTACAATTTACTGTATATGTGTCTGGGAAAAAAATAGCTTTTTAGTTTTACAAGGTTAAAAAATGCTACACAAATGTATATTTTACATTTGCAATAGTTTGAAATGAGAGAATATATATATATATATAAAAGACTATCACAAATCATTCTCACAATTTCAATAGAACCCCACCTTAATATCCAGCTAGATAACTTTGTCCATCTTTAACTGTGCCCTGATATTTCTGAACAAACTCACAATTTATGTAAATGTAAGGTTTTATTTGTTAAACATGCTGGTTTCTATCTTGTCATTAAAGCATAGACTGACCACTGTTGTTCCTAGCCCTGCAATTCTTTATGCCTATCGACAGCCTAAAAAATTCTATATATTTATCCTAAAGCAGCATCTGTAAAATGCTGAAGCACAAGGCTATTACTATTGAGAATATTGAGTGTCATATCTGACATGTGTGTGTTGTCTCTGCCCCCCATTCATCACATATTGGTAGCGAGTTAGCAGCGCTTTCCTCCCCCACTGTCAGCCTTTATTCATGTGGTGTTCAACTCCATTGATCAGGAGATGCACGTTGATAAGAATAAAGGCCAAGCTCAATAACAATCAGTGTCAATCATAGCAAAACTGCCAAGATCCATAGCCACTAGAAGCAAACATTAGCGCAACTGAGGACGAACACAGATTCTCTCACGTGTGAGCTGTGAATCACTCTTAATCCGTGCTGTCCTGGCTGTAAATAGTCATACAAAGCAATGGCATAGAAATGGGGATTTGAGTGAGACAGCTTAGTGCCGAGGAAGTCCCAGTGCACCACTCCTCTCCTCATCTCCTCAAGATGAGTAAGACATTTATATGGAATAGCACCAAAAACGTCTAGACTACAAATTTATTCCTTTATGAACTATATTTACATTCACTGTGTAAAAAAAATTTCTCTAGATATATGTAGTTCAAATAGATTACCCAATATTTGTGTTTTCTTTGTATTTTATGTTTATAAGACCAATATCAATTGTGAGTCGATAATATGCAGAGTACTTACTTCATCATTAGCTTAGCAATATGCTAATGTCCCTATTGAAATCAATTGATTTGATCCTGCACAGAACACATGCTACTAATGTCACACACTATTGAAATCAATGAGTCGATCATTTGGAGTGACTATGGTCACGCCCACTGAGTGACAAAAAGACTGAGCATTGGTTTTCAGCACCAATGCCGTGAAAAACACACAAAACGCATCTAAAACGCGAAAGAGCTTTGCGATTGACTGTACAACTACATTTGACAAGAAATCTGAGGTATATTTTTACAGACTGCCGAACCTAAAGAACAGAGAAGCAAATGGCTCGCTTTAATTCATAGAAACAACTTGACTCCAGGCAGCGAAAGGTGGATTTGCAGTTACCATTGAAATAGTTTACATGCACCACAGTAAGCTGATAACTCACAAATATCAGCTTATTGAAATAACCTGTTTTCGCTGTTTACATGCAAACATGACAACACAAGTAATGTATTAATAAATCAGGCCATGCTCCTGTGTTACAACAAAATAATCATTTGCGTTATTTCATTTATGTCGGTTGTGATGTTAAATAAAGCTTGCAACATGTCAGTTGGAACCTTACAGCTCGTATATTATCATCTCATGCAGTTACAGATGCAGCGTTTTTACTGAACCACTTCGGATGCACAAGAGGAGAGGACATTTTTATCATTTTCTGGGTCATGAAAGAGTCTGCGTTTGTGTTAAATTTCCTTCTTCCTTTCCTACAAAACGCTCGCTCTGTCTGGATGTGTTTAAATCTGCACTAAGGATGCATTCCTGTCACATTTCACACATGCGCACTTCGATAAGCTGACAGAAACCAGGCTAATGCGTTTACAAACCGCGCGAAATCGGAGTAAGAGGCAAAAACCTACCTGTGTCGACCGGTTTATGCGTAGCTTAAGCTGTTTATGACCTTTCTCCAAAAAAAGAAAACGTGTTTCCGCATTTACATGACCACGTGCGTTGTCAGCTTATTAAGCACAATCGGATGTTTTTAAGTTTTAAGGCTGGACGATATGATGATATATATAACATTGATATGAGTGATCACCCGGATTTAAGGCCCTTGCACACTGAGTCCGAAATTTTCGTATGCGTTTTTTCGTATTCATGATTCGGTGGCTCTGAATTGTCAAAACACCATTCAAACACCATTCAAACTGCTTGCTACGGATGCGAAAAACGCAGAAAATCAAACCCCGATCCGATTTTTTTACGACGGACGAGTGTGCAAGCGTGATTGACATAACGTGAGGTCGTATTTAATTTTTAACGTGCGAAAATTTCGGACGCTAATTTTGGGCCACTAGACGTAAGTTACCTATATTGTATTTATATAAAGCGTTCACAAGCAAATTTGCTTTATGTATTTCCCCGGCGTTGAAATTAGGCTCATATAAATGAAAGGAAACACGATTCCTGGCTGAATTTCAGTATCCATGGATCACTGGATCTTTGGTAAGTTGTAAGGAACACTATATCAAGTCCAACCTTTAGTTTAAACTGATAATCGTTTGGTTTACTCTCGTTTTTGCAGTTTCCCCTATTAAATCCAGTCACACAGGAGCTCTTCTGCCACTCTGTCCGGCTGAGGGGGTTGTGTTCCGGCGGGAAAGTGACATCAATAGATTCCCTCTATATACTAATGTTATACTTTTGAAATCAATTGAAAAGTTGACACCGTGCAGGATTTTTTTAGTTTTTTGTTTAGAAACATGCTAATGTTACACTATTGCTATCAATTGTGAGTCGAACCCTTGCAGCATATTTCATCATTAACTTAGCAACATGCTATTGTTACTATTTAAATCAATTGTGAGTCGATCCTGACAGCTTATCCGTTTCCATCCTATAAGAGATGTCATACTCACCAGAACGCTGCAGGGGACGGCAATCCAGGCACTGTCTGCTATAGAGCGTACCTCAATGGTGACCTAAAGTTGGCTTCTTGAAGACAGCATACAGCTGCGTGAAGGAGAAAGATTCAGATGCAATAGGGTATATGTCGAACATGACTAAACCGGAACACTGGTCTCATCGCATCCGCTTGTCAGAGAAAGTGTTAACAGTAGTATGACCTGACGCCGATATCTATGGACTTTTAAGGTAACCAGCTAACTTTAAGATATCAAAATGCATATGTGAGTGACATTGGGACACAAGGGACATTATGCTCATCTTTGCTCGCCCCTTTAAGTTATCTTGAGTAAAACAGCTAATTTTTTCACGAAGCACATACATGTAGCGATTCTAGCTCAACTAAAGGGAATATAATTTTAATAACTGATCATGGATATGATCATGAATCGCGTACATAGATTAAATTACCCGTAAAGGGGATACCTTGCCAATGTATCTGTATGGACAACTAAATACAACGGATTATAATCAATTATCCATACAGGTAGGCAAAAATAGATCAATTGTATATATCAACAATCAATCACAACGAATTATAATTAAATATTAATGTCAATTGTCTAGGATAGATCGATTCTCAGGATAACCCTTATGGAATTAATTTGTTATCGAATAATCTGTTCGTCCACCAAACTGACCGTACGATCTTTCATCAACCCTCAAGAAAAGTTTATCCTCCTTATATACTCTCAAGAAAGGCTATTTTTTCTGGCCATGAAAAATAACTTACCTGTTCTATAAAAATACTATTTAAAGTATCAACAAATTGTAAAGCTTGTAGCTTAGATAGATCGAACATTTAAGGGACTTCGTAATATGAGCAATAGACCGAGTCAATAAATGAATATAATGGATTTAATAAAGGAAAACTACGTATACCAGTGACTAAAGTTACAAGGAATAAATGTATATACAAAAAAATAAAGCGACAAACAATGAAAGAGAATGAGAATAAGAGAGTGATAGGAAAAGGGAGAGAATGATCAACAGTTATGGCAAAATCACAGACAATAGGAACCTTGAGAGAGAGACAACAAGGATCAAATCGCCCTATAAGCGGGGGCAAACAACTCTTAAACGCCTTGAAAGCTCGATAAAACAAATACTTGCATATACAGCTCTCTTGTGTTGCTGAGTAAAGAAGGAGTGTGTGTGTTGGTCCTTCGGAGCTTCACGCGTTCTCTCGGTTCTTCCGGAGCGAGCGTCGTCACAGGAAGTTCAAATGTCCATTGAAAGCAAAGTTTGCCAGCTAATTCAGGCTAAGTTCATTTCACTCGCAAGTAGAAATGAACAAAGGAGAATACGAAAAGGGAAAACAAAAACTGAAGAAGACAAACAAAAGAAAACAGACCCGAAAAGGTCTGAAGGGTAACTGAAGACGAAGAATAACTGAAGACCAAAAAGAAGAAGAGCGAGGAAACCGCTGGTCCTGACTTTAAAGGGGGTCCGAGTTCACACCTTCCGGGGTGAACTGACCAATCGACTTGGAGTTCGGTGAGCGGGAAGAGTCTTTCTTTGTCCTGTCAAGACGGCTCATCTGCATAGTTTATGATGGTGTTAAAAGTTGTCCTTTCTACTCCAGAAATGTTATACATATAATCATACATTTTACTGTATGCTTATATATATATCTGGCTTGGTGAGACCAAGAGGATCCTGAAGGTATCAAGAACTACGCGAAACGGACTTAGGGGTACAGAGATACATCTTAAGTTCATTTAATACTACGATAAAATCATAGATACCCCAATATGACATGGGCAAGCAGGCAAACATAAAAACATATAAAATATATCTTAGTAATGTCTTTATATGAGGAAGTTAAGGAAAAGTCCATGTACGTGCGTCTCGGAGGGAGCTTTGCTTCGGCCACCTGGAATTCCTTTCTTGCCGGGGAGGGGGTGTTGAGCGATACGAATCTGTTTGAGGCTCACACGTTCGAGTTTATGGCTGTTTGTTTTCTCTCGCGTATGCCACAAAAGTGTCATTGGGAGCAATTAGACGCCGGCTCTCTGGCGCCCTACTTGTGAGTTACCGGACAAAGTCAGGGGTTAGAACGGTTTCCAAGTGTTGGAATGCATGAGTCACCCTGACACTGTCCAGATACGCTACATACAAAACACTTAATACGGGAGTGATGCGATCTGTTTTACAGAATACGGAAGTTAAGTAGCACATAACCCCTATTGACACCCAGTACTTGCTGTATAGCGGCTTGGCCCACCCACCGCCAGAGCGCTTGGACACCATTGGCTATTCTGCAATATCGTGATTCTATCAGGCTTCAGGAATTTTAGATAAAGGAGTTTCCCCAAAGCGTAAGCTATTACGCAATGTCGAGAGACCAACTCGAAAGGGAACAAGACCAAACCACTTCCCCTTTTGATATGGGGATCGCTAACATGGGAGGACACATGCTGCAAGGCAAATAAAAAACATTTCTCATTTTTACGGATGGAAAATTTAGTCTCGCAAAATGTTATTCCTAATGATAGCATGTTATTACAACTATGCAATTTTGCTCATGATAATGTTATGGATTATCAATATATCTTTGTGGGCCCCTCCTCCCTGAGGCCGCCTGTTACATAGTTCCACTATTACCCCCTGACCGAAGCCCCTGTGTGTAGCATGTCGATTTTCTGCTTATGTAGAGTGTAGAGCATTCTGAATCAGTCACTTGTAAGGTTCAATGCTCATATCAGACCTTGAATGTGCAGGAAAAACATCTGAATATTTGAAGAACAAAGTCAAATCAAGTGTTCTGAAAATCAGTCAGAGCTGCAGGGTCAGACATATGTTATTATTTCAGCCTCATTTTTAGTGGCTTGTGCTGTTTTGTATCAAAGCGTCCATACATCCAGCAGCACAAATCTTTTGTTCTAAGATTGCTGTTCCACGACCTCAAATTTCACCTTAAATATGTGCTTCGTTTGAAGTAAACCTCTATGACTCCACGTGAACCACAGCTCATGTCAGAACTCAAGCAGTTTTGGAAATTGTGCCAATAGTGTATGTTAAGGAAGCCCTTAATCAAGCTGATATAACACTATGCTTCCCTTTTAAGGATTAGGATATTGAAAGTGCCCTCGACTTTCTTTTTGTCATATCAAAAAATTAGTCATGGCGAATTTGTAAGGAATGTATGCACGTATCAAGAAACAACCTGCAATTCCAGTGTTCTTAATAAACTTGTCTTTAATACTAAACACACAGGCATTGTGCAAAAGTGCAGATAAGAAGCGCGCTAATTATCCTTTAATAAACGCAGTCAGGCAAAACTAATGCTGCAATGCGTCTTTTAATTAGAGGTTGGAAATGTCAGAGTCTTTAGTATTTGTAAATCAGACTCAAAAACCAAGCAAATTCATCTTAGCTTTTCTTTAGTCTCAGTAAATGCTTTAATCGTTCAAAGATAGGCTTTTTGTTTAAAATAACCCTGATGTCTGTACATTTAATCTTTGTTGTCTTAAGGTTTTTTTCTTTTCGTTTCAGCAGAATTCAGCTACATCAGTATTTGATAGATGTCGTGGACATGAAATGGTTTTGTTTATTTGGCGTAAATGAAGCATAATAACATTGCTGATATGATGGAAAGCCTTTGAAACAGAATGTTTTCCTCAATAAGCTTACTTTCGAAAGTAATTTAACTCTGGCCAGTTCAAAATGTTTGTAGCTGACAATAGTGAACAGTCAAAGGACAAGAAAAAACACTAACAAAATGAGGACTAGATCAATACGACACTATTTCAGCCAGACCAATTAAGACTGTCTGCAGGCCAATTCAGTTACGTCAATCATGGTCAAAATTATCGGTATTTAAATGCAGACGTGAAGCATATTTGCATACATTTAGCCAGAATCTTATCGGGTCTCGAATGAAGAGGTTAAAAGGTATTATCTCAGTAATCACATCATGGAAACCATGCATTACCAATTTAATGGTTTACCATGAATGTTTTCATTATATGCATATGTAAAGGGTATTCCTCTAGCTCTGTCTTTGGTCTGTGTGTGTATTAAAATAGAGAGAACAAATGCAAAACCTGGTGTCACCATCAATGAATACCTCCATATACCTCATCTAGCGATCGCAAGGGAAGTCTCATTCTGTCGATGCCTCCCAGCCTTGCAAACAGATAAATATGCCCATACGAGTGAACAGCGAAATTGTTCTGACCTCTCGATGGGAAAGGACAAACTGATGGGTCCAAATCAGTCATGGCCCAGATCCAATTACATGTTTTATGAATGTGAGGTATGAGTCGGGAATGTTAATTCAAACTCAGGTCAAACCAAGGGGCAGCAAAGCCATTTGGTCTAGCATCACGGCATCATATAAATTCCTCCACAACCAATGGGTGTTTCTTCAACAGTAGGTCGCTTTTAGTACAATCAAACCCGTGGACATGCATCACAGAAGATTTCTTTCATTTTTCTGGCAGTGTTTTAAAATGTCATTTCCACCACACAATTTAAGATGTGATGGAAATGACATTTTAAACATTTCTGAAATAAAATATTGTCTGATTTTAACCAATCAAAAATTGATTGAAAAAAATGTTTTGATTGAAATTCAGGAACCTCTCTGACCATATTTAGCGTTATGACAGAAAGCTTTTGCTTTTGCTTTCTATTTTGTTTTTATTTTGTGCACCTGATAAATTGCATTTTAAGTAATTAACTTGGTTATTAACTTAAAGTAATTAAGACAACACTCACAGGAAGAATATGTGAATAAAAATGTGTTTATGTCTGGGATGCTTTTGTTTAATGAATTCATCAAACGCACCATTGCATGGAAATAAAGACTGCATTCTTGAAAAACTAGTATAAGTATTGAGTAATGATTGTGTTAAAAACAAATGTCATTGTTAGCACCTTGCTTAGCCCAGTTATAATTTTTTCATGGAAATAAGATGTGAATAAAGATGTTTCAATTTGGTTGGCAATCTATTGGGGGGGGTGGGGGGGGGTAGTGGTTTTGGAGGGTGAGCACCCACAGGCAGAATCATAAATCGGTGCCTATGAATCTCACAATAAATATTGAAATTCTTTGTTTATTCCAGTTTTTGTTTAAAGAGTCATAGTTTTACGTTTTTAATTATTCATATGTTTATAGTGAATTTTCATTGTTTATGAAGGTCTAGGGCAAAACTATATAAATAAAATAAAGGTGAAATTTGTTAGCTTTAATAAAAAATCAACCCCTGAGACATAAGTATCCAAATATGACGAAAGCTAACTGTCACAACTTTCAAGATTGTAGAGAAATCAGATTAAATGGAATCTGCCTCCAGACTTGGAAAAAGAACCTGTATTCTGTCTTCTCTTTCAGAACTCAGATGACCTTCTGGTGGCGTCAGCCGAGTGTCCCAGTGATGACGAGGATCTGGAGGAGTGTGAGCCTGGCACTGGTGAGTACACACACATACAGCAGCACTGAAACCACACAGACCTACACAAGCTTCAGATGCTCAAACTACTGTCTTAAATAGAAGACTTGTTTGTTTGTTTTTTTCATTAAGGAGAGGTGTTTAATGACAGATATATTCCAATTGGATGTAGTGCAGTTCCATAGATAATTCCTCAGTGTAATTCCGGCTTGAGCTTCAACTAGTTTTTTTTTTTTAAGACTTTGTAAAATTTCTGTTGTTTATATGTAAAATGAAACTATTCCATAATATGATGTTTTGCAAATATTCAGGAAATAACATTCATCAGTAGGATCTGAAATGTAATTTGGTAACACTTTATTTTAAGGTGACGTAGTTATATGTTACTACATGTACTTAATATAGTAATAACAGTAAATTATACATAATTACAAGAAACTAACCTTAACCGTAACTCTATAGCAAGTACATGTTGTTTATTAATATTACTGAGTACTTATGAGTAAGTATAATGTAACTACGTCGCCTTAAAATAAGGCGTAACAATCATTTTTACATTATCATTTGTTTCAGAAGTACAGAATTCTGTTTCCCATAATGTTTATCTGCTAGCACTATTCCCCCATATTACCCTTACAAAAAATAGAAGTGTACTTGGGAGCTCAGCTGGTCATTTAGGAAATAAATTATGAGTTGCTTGCTATGTTTAGGCTAAGGGTTATATTTCTTGAAGGGTGGCCTTCTCCTACTATCTGGGCTATTCATAACGCTAAGTGGTCATTCCACTCCATCGTTGAGTTCCACTTTGGGCATTATATACTGTATCAGTGACATCAAACTCTGTTGCACATGTAGTACATGGAATTAATACTCTGTGCTCAGCTATTGCTTCTGTGATTGTGCAGTGTTGCAATCATTCAGTGTCGTTGAGTGGTTGAGTTCTTTCTGATGGCCCATCTGGAAAATCAGCTGTTGCTGTTTGACATTTGTCCAAGCCTTTGGTTTCATTTCAGATTATTTTAGTTGAACAAAATGTTGGAAAATTAAATGTTTTAACCCTGACATTTCTTATTAAATAATTGGTACAACAGTCCTATTTTTTGGCTAGGTCTCAAAATCTAGTCAGCTGCCTGCCTAGCTTGTTTGGGCATCGTTTGAGTGCTCCTGACACAGAAAAACAAATCTCTCAAATTGTCGGTTGAAAAACTGAAAAACCTTTCAATTTAAAGCAGTATTAGCTTGTTTCCTTAATGGATAAGGTCCCATAATGTGATGTGACAAGCTTCATTCAAGGTACAGGATGGAGCGGAGAGAAATGTTTTAAAATAAAATAAAATGTATTAATAATTTTTTTTTTTTTATAATTGTTATTAAAAAATGTCTAAAGCTTGGGGTCAGTAAGATTTTTTAATGTTTTTGAAAGAAGTCTCTTATGCTCATAAGGCTGCATTTATTTGATCATAAATAGAGTAAAAAAACTCGAATTTAATTACCATTTAAATAACTTATAATTAATTATATTTTAAAATGTTACTTATTCATGTGATGGCAAAGCGGAATTTTCAGTGTCATTAATTCAGTGTCATAATGATCCTTTATAAATCATTCTAATTTGCTGATTTGGTGCTAAATAAACATTTCTTATTATTATTAATGTGGAAAACAGTGCTGCTGAATATTTTTGTGGAAATATATATGGTATCTTTTTCTTTGATGAATACAAAAGTTCAAATGAACAGCATTTATATGAAATATAAATATTTGTTCTTTAATATTTTAGTCTTTACTGTCACAATTTAATGCATCCTTGCTGAAAAACATGTCTTTAGAAAAACTAACCCCAAACTTTTGAACAGTAGTGTATAACATTAAAATGCAGTGTTTTGGTTAGCTTAACCACATGCTAAATCAGAGTCAGACGAGTCTCGTGCACGTCAGTTGAGTCACTGTTTGAGTGCCATGTTAGTTTCTTTTTATGAAGTTCTGCCTTTAAAGAGCATCTCGTATTAGTCAAATCAACTTTGCAATAAGATTTATAAGATGATCCCCTATATAGGCATTACCGCTTACTAAGTTTTGAGACACAGCATTTAAATGATTTATCACAGAATGCACATATGCAGAGGATTTTATCATTGCAAAGGGACTTCTCTATTTATACAAGTTAGATAAAAGACTAGAGCACAGATGAGTGTGTCTCTAGTCAAAGAGTATAAAGGGGAGAAAAGTTGTGTTTTTAAAGGGACCATCTTACACACCTTTGTTTTTTGTAATTTGCTTTTTTTCCATGCAAAAATCATGCGGCCTATTTGTTGATGTAAGTGACCCAAACTCCATGGTTTGCTATATTGTTTAACCAAAGAAGAGCCAAGAGCTATTCAAGATATGAGTTGGTTCTTTTTTAGATGTTATTTGAGTAATCTAGACATATTTATGTTAGCCATATGAATAGGTTTAAACAAATATTTCAGCTTTTTTTCATGTGAATATTGTGTAGAATCTTTGTCCTAGAATAAATTGCACATAACAAATTGATTTATAATTCTATAGCTAATAGAGTGCGCGTGTGTGTACATGTAGCTATTGTCGAGTCCTCGCTAATTCTTCTTCCTCTCTCATCCTAGGAGGTGAACTTGTGTTGCCCATAATTACCGTGGACACCCAAGACCCCCTTCCCATGGCCACCCGTTACCCTGCCATCCCCGCCCCTCCCACTTCCCTGACCCCTCTCCAAACCACCAAAGAGTCCCTCATTCTGTCCAACCCCCGTCCACCGTGCCCTCCGGACCAGGAGGACTGCGGCGACCCCATGGAGGTGTCGGCCTTCGGCTCCGGAGAAATGACGGAGTCCGATGACGAGGACTTTTACAAAAACTCCCCCATGGTCACGGACAGGACAGTCCTGCCGCCGCCCCCCGCCGTGGGCAAGAGCGGAGGCCAGGGCCCAGGTGACCACCGTCCTCCAGCCCCCGCCCCCACCACCCACCCCAACCAGCTCCACATCCCCGCGGGCAAAATGAACACCCGCGACCAGGTGCTCCTGCCACCTGCCCCATCCTCCCGTCACACTCCAGGTCTAACCTACCCGCCCGATTTCCCCCATGTGCCCACAGCTCACCCCACCGACCTGATGGAGAAGGGCCGCCCGGGCGCCGTGGAAGTGATCAGGGAGTCCAGCAGCACCACAGGCATGGTGGTCGGCATCGTGGCGGCTGCCGCCCTCTGCATCCTCATCCTCCTGTACGCCATGTATAAGTACCGCAACCGAGACGAAGGCTCTTATCAGGTGGACCAGAGCCGCAACCCGGGCTCTGAAAGCAACGGTGCCGTAGTGAAGGAGAAGACGCCGAGCACGACTGCCGCCATCGCCAAAACGACCACCAAGGGCAAGAAGAACAAAGACAAGGAGTATTACGTCTGAGTGAACGAGCGCGCAAGAGAGACTGAGGAGGAGGTTCAAGGAGGATTTTAAAACTTCAAATCACCTCCTCTGCATCCTCAAGCATTTAAGCCACACAATCTTCTGTTTACTTCTCCAAAACGTTTTTCTGCCACCGAAAGATATGGACGTAGGGAATGAGGAGGAAGGCCCTAAAGGATAGATACTCCTTTCGTTGCTGTCTTTGCAAAGCCATTGTTGTATGTCATTTTATCTCTATCATGTCTAAAGAAATTCTTCCATTACATTCCAGATGATGTAATGCCCTCTTTGCGATTAAAAATGTATGTTTTGCGTGGTCTGGGCCTCCACAGGAGAGTAACAAAACACCATGGACAGGGAGAGAAAAGCCGCCGGTTTAACTGATGTCTCCACACACAAGCTTTTGGTGCTATTCCTGGACGTTTATTTAATATTACCTTCATAGAGCTATGAAATTGAGATCTTCTGCGAGACGCTCGCTGGCCCTCGTTGTAATAATTTATGAAGAACAGAAGCGATTGTGTTAGTTATTTGCACGAGACAAGCAGATGCTCCCATCAGTTCTTGTGGAGATGTTAAATCTGACACCTTTTTTGGAAGGTGAAAAAAAAAACGTGTTCAGTTGAAAAGGCGGCGGATAAAATCACATCTTCTGTTTTGTTCTCTGATAGAGCCGAAATACCAGAAGAGTTTGAATTCATTTCCACTCGGATATCTTTTGTCAGGTGTAGAAATTAGGATTTATCTGTCCCTGTCATGAAACACATGAATCTAATTCTTTCTTTGTTGTTTATCCGCCATGGTTTCATAAACACGTTCTCACTTAGAATCGCAGATCAGACGGCGAAGCCTGCTTTGACAGCGACACCTCCACCAGCAGGTGTAGAAAAGCTCAGAAGGTTGTTAGAACTTTAAAAAGCCCACAAAAGGGATATCTCTCTCTTTCTCTGTCTCTCTCTCTCTCTCTCTCTCTCTCTCTCCATCTCTCTCTCTCCATGGTGTCGAAACATTGTGATCTGTTAGGCTACTAATTGTGTTCCATGCATGATGTATTCACATTCAGCTTTCCATGAGAGTATTTTGATATGAAATACATAAAGTTGATGACTCATCTCACCCGGAGGGATTCATAACACCATGGGCGAACACGACGCAGACAAAAGAGACCTCAGAAAGTGGGACTGTCCTGAACTGAACATCAGCTTGGACAAAAGATGTATCTATGTAAATACAGGACATTGCTGAAAACACTTCAGGAGACAGGTTTGTGTGTATCGTGCATACAATGCGTATGTGCGCGTGCGCTTGTGTGTGTGTGTGTGTGTGTGAGTGTTTGTCCTCGTTCGTCCTCCGGCATGAGAAAGATATACGCAAGACTACGAGAATTCTTTCTCTTGCCTCCTATATTCTCTATGGTGTGAAACTACAGCCCAATACCCATCCGAATGAGACTACAGACACTGAAACAAACAGGATAAGGTGAACCGAGGCGAAATCATATTTTGAGAACTGTGTGGCATCTCTTCTAAGAGGAAAAAAAGAAACTTGTTCTCATCAGAATGCCAGCTCACCTCCTCCCAAACCTTGAAGGAGAGCGTAAAAAAGAGCGAACTGACAAGACTTTTATGGATAAAGCAGCACAACCTTGTGTCCAGACTTTTGTATCAAAGGACACCTCCTGGAAAGGAGGAAAAAAAAGAAAGAAAAAAAAAACACAGTATCCTGTCTAGATATTTCTCACATTTGAAAATATGGTTTTACTGAATTGACATTCCTTGTTATTACAAAGAGGTTTTTGTTTAGTCCTTTCTCTGCAAATGGAAAAAAAAATACCGTTATTAAGAAAAGATATTACTTCAACTATGAAGTGATTTTCAAATGTAAAATTCTGGGGGGAAAAATGTTTTGGGATTTTATTGAATTTGGTAAAATATGAAGCATTACAACTAGCCATACCTCCATTCCTACATACTACTTTCTTTTGTTACGTCATCGACAGGGCAATTTTTTTTGTTTGTGTTTTTATTTTGTTTGTTCTTTTAAGATATAATTGTCATTTACCTATGCTGGTCAAAGTATATTCCCGTTCTTAATGTAATTGTAAAGTGTTACTGTGAGATGAAATCTAAATATGTGTACATTGACAGAGGGAAAAATACACTTGGTTCTATACTTCGTACTGATTTGTTCAGTGTGGTCTCTTTTATTTATAAAAATGTTTGCCTTAAAGAGTTATACATATTAAGCAGCAATTTCGGAAGGATCATGTGACACTGAAGACTGAAGTAATGATGCAGAAAATTCAGCTTTGCATCACAGGAATAAATTACATTCTTAAATGTATTAAAACAGAAAACAGTTCTTTCAAATTTGAAAGAATATTTCACAACATTACTGTTTTTACTGTATTTTGATCAAATAAAGGCAGTCTTGTTGATCATAAGAGTCTTTAAAAAAAAAAAATAATAATCTTACCGACCAAACTTTTGAATGGTAGTGTAGGTCACCCCAAAAAAATTCAAAATTCTGTTAGTATTCTTCCTTTTTTTTCTATTGTGTAAAAGGCATGCAAAAGGAACAAAATCTAAAATTTTATGTTGCACAGTAGAAAATGTCATAGGGGTTTGGAACAACAATAAAGGTGATTAAATGATGAAATCTTCACCTAATTTGTTGTTGTCTAAAGTTTTAGACTCTCATATTTAAAACTGAATATAAACGGTGTCATCTTAGACTACTGGTATTTGGAGAACCATTATTTCCCAGTGTCTTTCCTGCCTACAAGGTTTATCCATTGTAAGAACTCTCACGCTGTGAACTCAAGCCCTTGTCTTACATGGCAATTTCATCATCTGGTCTTATATATTGATGAGTTCCTACCCCAGAAGACTCCACACACTGCTAATACAAAGACGTCTTCAGATTCCTCTGCTGTCACACTGCTCAGATCTAGGTAGACAGGCCTCTAAACAACACTCTTCCTTTATGGTCTTGTAGGATCTGAAAGGAGAGCGGCCCCCACGTTCTCTTTCCCCTCTCTCTGCGCCCACTCTATATTATGTTCTGCAGGTACTTGTTCAGCTAACTACACGCTGCAGTACAGTTTGAGCTATTTAAAGACTGGAGCTAAAAGTGTGTTTATGGAGAGCAGTTTCCTGGAATAAGAGGCAACTTGATTTTGGAAAAGATTCAGACTGATAAAGCTATATCTGGAGCGAGCCTTTCAAAGGATGAAAGCTGGCAATGACACACTTCTGTTTTGATCATTATTCTGGGTCTATTGTAAATCTAGTGGAGTAAATTGTATCTGGTCAATATGCACAGAATACACTTAAGTACAGCATTTAGTTAAATGAGTGTTTTCATTCAGTCAGTGGCTGTGTTTTCAATTATATCCTGGCGGATTTAAAATGTACCAATCTCGCCTTTTATAAAATACATGCAAATCACAAGGATTTAGTCAAAAGGAATACAGACGGATGGACGGACGGATGGACGGATGGATGGATGGATGGATGGATGGATGGATGGATGGATGGATGGATGGATAGATAGATAGATAGATAGATAGATAGATAGATAGATAGATAGATAGATAGATAGATAGATAGATAGATAGATAGATAGATAGATAGATAGATAGATAGATAGATAGATAGATAGATAGATAGATAGATAGAGCTTGTTAGAGATTGTAACATTCAGGTTGGTCTCCACATAAGACCCAACTAACATCAGCCTTAAGGCTTGTATGAATCAAATAAATAATGGGAAAGAATTTGTGATTTTCAAACAGAAGACTCGAGCTTTGAAACTGAAAGCAAGGCAAGGTTTATCACTTATTGCCGCAGTTAGTTTTAAACATCTTCAAAAACCCACATTAAGAAAGACGAAGAACAAAAGACAAGGAAAATCTGTCAGCACCTTCTGATGTCAATTCTACTCCACATCTTTCTGAACTCTGAGCCCTGGATTTGTGATTTGATGAATAATTTAGTAGCCGACTTGTGGCCCCTTTTTCTTCAAAGTAGATGGAACTCCAATTTTCACTTCTGCCAGTGCACCTGTCCTGTCCTGCCAGAGGAAATGCATTAAAACCCCTTCCCAAATGTCACTGAAATGAAAGTGTTTGATAGGTAAGCAAGATTTGAAACTTTCCTTTGCTGTATTTTCTAAGAAGGCTGTCGTTTTATGCTCTTTGATTCAAAAAATAGTTGTCTGGAAAGACAGAGGGGCGAAGATTTAACAGTGAGCAGTAATGGGCAGTTGTGATGCCACTGGATTGAGACTGAAGCAAAAACCTGTAGAAGCGTGAGACTGCCATCTGCTGTCTAAATCCACTCATTCATCAATCTAGCTGGGTTGCACCATTACATGTTGTTGGGGCAGTTGTGGCCTAATGGTTTGGTAGTCCTAATTGCCGGAAATGACTGAGGTGTCCTTAAGCAAGGCATCTAACCCCCAATTGCTCCTCAGGCGCCGCAGTGAATGGCTGCCCACTGCTCTGGGTGTGTGTGTTCACTACTCACTGCTCCTAATGTGTCTGCACTGTCTAGCATTGGTTATCTGCAGAGGACGTCACTTCACTTTTACATTTGCTGTAATTTTTTACCTTTTAATGAAAAAGGCTTGAATTTTATCCAAGTAACTTTTTTAATCAATCAATAAAATAACATTTACTCTGACAAATTTAAAAAATAAAATAGGGATGTAGAAAGGTATCTCCTCGTTTTGGACTATTTTTGTTATATCAGAATATAAAACAATCAAGCATAATCAATATGAATCTGGCCAAAGTTAGTCTACTATTATATATTATTTCTTTATTCTATTAACACATACAGTATTTATGTAGGGCTGTAAGTGTTCACTATGGTGAACTGCCATCACAGAAAAAAAATGTATTAAACTGATCCTCTCGTTTTGACAATAGAGAAAAAATGTGGTTAGGACCCTGGTTTCACTTAGAGTTTCACTTAAAGTTTGGGGGCCTTCTGTCCACTTCTTAAAACAAC